GTGCCAAAAACTTTGGGCCAACCGACTTCAGCATTCTTTCTTAACACTTTAGCTCTGTCCTAAGTCAGAAATTTAAGATGACAGCAGAGAATTTAAATATGTTTGAAAACTGAGCTTGACTTCAAATCAGTGTTAGGTTTACTGAGAAATGGGTATTTTGTAAAAGATATTATAAATCTGTGGTGCTCTCCTACTGAGTTTTCGTTCTTGTTAAACTCTTTCTGAATAGACAGTGTTGACCTTTTAACTCCGACAATATCAGCGTCCGTGTAGGTTGGGAGGTCTGTGCCAGACATTATGGTCCTGATAATAAAATGTTCTACAAATAAACAAAAAGGCAAGTGTTATAAATAGGAAATTAGCACCACCTTTCCTCTGTCCTGTTGCTTAAATATTTCTGTTAACACTAAGCCAATATGTAGAACACCTTCCTGAGATGAAAAGGGGAACAAACTTCTAATGGCATTACTAAGGACTTGATACAAAATTCAGCAGCTTTGTAAGGACAATAAATAATTTCTAATTGGTAATTGTTTTTCCTTTCTTGTCCTTTAGTGAAAGAACCGTGTATTTCAGAATAGGGATTAATTTTGTAAAACTTCATTGAAAAATAAAAGTTTTTCTTTTTCTTGAAACATAAAACAACCAAACCATGCAACTACTTACTTCCTTTTTTGTAAAGCCACCTGGTTTTTGTAACCAAAAACCTTAGCCTTCGTCCCAGAAAGCATTCTTCTAGGGTGGCCCTGCAGGTCTCCATGCAGGAAGGAGGCAGGCGGGTGCTGGCTGAAGCTGGTGACATTCACTGTGGCTGTCAGTGAGTGTGGGACTGGGGAATGAGCCACACCTTGGGAAACCTATTGAGGTTTTGGCTGGCTCTGTTGTGAAAAATGAGTAATATTGAAGTCAAATGTACAAACAGCTGCATTACAATAGTTTGGGGCATTTATAAATGTATAACAACTTTCTAACCAAATAAGAACGGCTGTAAAATTACCTGAAGTTCTTCAGCATGCTTGTTTTCCAAATCACATGAAACTCCAGTCCAGATTTCTGATGGGCTAACGAAGACATCAGGCTTCCTCCAAATGACTTGTTCTAGGTTAAGTATCCTAACAACAAAAGGAGGCAGGAAGAACCAATGACTTCTAGTCATTTTATTCTGTCAGGCTTTCTTTTGTAATGTGGGTGTTCAATCCATTGTATTTTGTTGCCGGGGATTTTTTAATCCTCATTTCTTATGCTTTGAGGAGTGCCTGCATCTGCAAGGTTACTTTTTCAGTGCACAAATAATGCAAACCTGGTTTATACCTACAAATAATGTAGGTTTGTATGAATGTGTTGACCCTGTTACCACCGGGGTGGTTTTCTGTTGTCGATGAGTTGTTATATCCTCCTTCATTCTTCCGGATCATTCCTATGGGTTCTGACAATGTTATGGCTTCACTGGCAGTTTTGGGACCTAATTCTATAAGTTTAAGTCCACGGGAAATGTCATGTAGTATGTGCCACGTTCAAGGTGATCTCAATGTCCTGTTTATGTTGAGAAAGAAAATTACTGGTAGCTGAAAGCTATTGGCAATTTTTCTTCAGAAAGGTGCAGGCTGAGATGTTGTCTGGTATTGGAAGCTTGATTTTACAGGCATACAAACTACTTCAGTTTATTTTTTAAGGCAATATGCTGATGGTTATTGGAGTCACTCAAATGGTGATTGGCCAGTCCCTTTGGATGTTGGTTATCGTGAGATTAATGGGTATGGTGAGGGTGAGGCTCAAAGCCTGACGAACGCCCAGGAGAGGAAAATAGCTTCGTTAACTAAAGGGCAACAACCTTGTCTGCTGACCTTGTTGCTAATGCACTTTTCAAATAAGCTTTCTCCTAAAGCTAGGCAAAACTAAACGTGTGAAAAATGACGGATTTGAATTGCAGGAGAGCTTGGCTCCCGCAGCTGCGCTGAAGCGGGTGGGCTCTGTGGAGTGTCCCAGTAGTCCCTAAAACCCCTTTCCCCGGGGGCTGCGGGAGGGCGGCTCTGCCAGCGGACACTCGCCCCGCACGGCAGTGCTTCTCCCGAGGGCATCTCCCGCTCGCTGTGGGGACGCGTGCGCAGCGGAGGCGTGTCACAGCTCTCTGTAAGCACTCTCAGATGATGTCATCTCCCGCCACGCTCCTAAAGAAAAAAGGACTCGTGAAACTCTTGCTCTGAGGACGGTAATGTATTGAGTGGCTAGCTGGCAGCTAAGCACGCTGTGTGTCCGCAGAGGTTGCAGGCAGCCGTTCTTTAACCAGAATTCAGAGACGTCACAAGTGGCTGAACAAACAAATATCGCCAGTTAATGGTTAAGCTCTCAATTTACTGAAGCGTTTGTTACCAGTTTGCAAAAGAGATCAAACAACCGTGAATCATAACCTTGGCTACTAATTAAATCCTTTATTCCCTTCCCTCATCGCAGAAGCATTTAATCTTGGGGAATCAGGACAGCCTGTTGTGCAGAATTAGATTTTACAGCTTAAGCGGAAACAAGCTTACTGTAAGGTTTCCTACTGGAGCTGGAAATGGCAAGGAATAAAATGAGAATATTAACTTTCCCTCCTGGCATGGAAGTTCATGTTAGCACTGAACAAGGATTGATGTAAAATAGCTGCATTGGAAAATAATTTTGGTAGTATACTTTTGTTATTTCACTGAATGGCAAACATAGTTTTTATTATCCATCTGTCTTGCTTATAGATGAGGCTCGTCATCTAGATAGAGAATGAGGGATTTGGTGTGCTTTACTAGTGACCGTCTGTCCCAAAGAAAAATATTTTACTCAGAAATAATGGACTGTGAAGAACAGCCCAGAGGAAATGAGGCCTAAACCAAGCAGTTTTATTGCAATTGAAATTTATTTCTATTTGTCATAAGATGTTTTTGTGTGCATCTATGTATAGGATGTATAGCTGCATGACAGTTACGCTTTCACACCTTTGATATTTAATAGCAAATTAAGCAGCGTTTATCTTTTTGTCTCCCATCTCTGTGAAGCAGAACTTAAAAACCCCAAACCTGCTATTTTCTTTGGTTTTGGGGGAAGTCGTCCATGTCCCTAGCAGCAGAGTGATGCAGCAAGGGCTCACAGAACCGGGATGAACTAGCGTTAGGCTAACTCAGCTCACTGGGACTCAAACCAAACAGGCAGCCATCCCAGTTAGGCGGAGCAAATTTCCATTTTTATAACAGGAACCATGATCTTGCAGTCAGATCTGCGGGAGCAGGGACCTGGAGAGAGTCTCTCTGAGGCACCTCAGTTACCTGTTAATAGGGAAGGGCCTCCCAGTACAGATCCAACTGCAGAGTCATGGATCGGTGTATAATTATTGAGGCACAGTTGCGTTATATAAATGCACTCACAGTCTTAGTGATCTGTAGACCTGTGGTGAAAAGCTGTATGTTATTAGTTTGAAAAGTGACTGTATTTTACACTGTATCCAGAGAAAGTAATCTTTTCTGTCATTGCTAAATCTGAACAATTTCTGTAACAGAAAGAAACCACCTGAGAGGCAGTATCTACAAGTAGAAAAAGAGAGCTTTTTTTGGTTCTGTTTTTGGCTTTGCAGAAAGCTATTTTCCCACTAAAAAGTGTGAGTTTTCAGGAATGGAACGCCCCAGCTACACTTGCCATGCTGTTCAGAGGACAGACATCCACCGTTTGCACATGCAGAACTTCTGTTTGCTGGGGGAAAGTTGTCCTGAGGGAATATGTGAATAGTCACTAAAATTCCAGGTTATGTTTAACTGAAGAGGCTTGGGTGATACCATGCTGTATCACACCAAAGACCCAAACCTGTACAGAACTTAAATATGACTTTTCCATCCCATGGTGAGTATGAATGCTGTCAGGTTCAGTACAGACAGGAAGTACTGCCTGTGACATCTCAATATGCTGGTCTATCAGTATTATTAATAATAATTTTATAAAGATAAAACATCTGGAATATCTAACTCTGCTTTTACTGCTGATTCCCCGAAGCCATCACTAGAAGTCTCTTTGGGCTGAGAGTTAGAAAGGCTATATGTTCATGCATTTAAAAAGGGAATAAAGATTGTGCAATAATGTCATTCAAGCGCATCTTGCTAAGAGTAATGGAATGAGCAAGTAGACTAAATCATCGGCACAGCTTAAATGTTTGATTTGATATTTTAATGTTAAGAAGAAAAATACATCATTTTTGCAAGCTTTGAAAAATTTAGAATATCTGTTGCTTTTAATGAACTGTTTAAAAAATAATGTCAGATACTATGAAAATCTGTTATTTTAAAGTAGAAAGAGCAAATTATTATTTCTTAATTCTGTTTTCAGTGCATATGCATGTGCATGAAGAGGGGGATATATTTGTTTGAAGACCTTTCAGATTATTTTGTCTTTATATACACTTACAGATCGGTTTTGGGATACATGTGTATGTAGGTGTTGCATCCAGTTACCACAGGATCGTTTGAGTTGTTTAGCAGTCAACAACTCAAAAATCTTTAAATTGTTATTTTAAAGTAATTTTTGAAAGACAAATTCATGGGAGTGAAGAAACATATTGTACAGGACTTGCGGGGATGGCGGTGAACCCACAAAAAAACCAAAAGCTGGATTTCTAGAGCGACCGTGTATAAAAGCTGCGTGTGGCTGAATATGCAGAAACTTGATAGCTTTTTTGGGGGGGGGGAAATGAAACTGGGAGAGATGGGTGGACGTTTGCTTAGACATAGGAGGAGGTTATGTGGACACCTCTTTTTACCGTGAAATGTATGCAAATCTAGCATAGGTCAGATAAAATCCTGGATTTTTATAGCCTTCTTGAAAGGTGGGGAAGGTCAACATAATACTGTGTTGTGCTCCCAGGCTGAATCACAACTACTTGCATTACACATTCACGTGTTAGTGAAGCATTTACTGCAGACCGTTATATTTATTGTCTGGATGGAGATGCTCTTTCACCCCACTCACCTTCCTCATTTTTCCCACAGGCTGCGAGAACACCACCGTGCTGCAATTAAGGTGATTCGTAGGATGCAGTATTTTGTAGCAAAGAAAAAGTTTCAGGTGAGTTGTGAATAGAAGGCTCCTTTTCTAAAGAAAACCTTTTATTCTCCTGATTCACTGTTTCTTTTAGAAACTTAAGAGAGACTAACACAATGCATTTCAGTAATGGTGAGGTACACCCACTATTCTCTTCCTCCTTCAATAGGGTGGTTGTTTAGCAGCAGGTTAGTCAACTGTGGATGCACTGGAAATGGGCTAAACTCCTGAAATGCAGTCTGAATTAAAACGTTATTTTCTGCTAATGGACTTGACCCTTCACCCTCTGTTATCGCTGTCTCTTTCTCCCAGTGCAAACATTCTCATATGTCTCCATTAATTCTGAGCTGTATGTTACTGTCATGCCGAGTCGGTAGGATTAGAGATTAAAATACTACCTCAGCCTTGTTTCTGTCTCTTACTCAATGATAATAAAGTCCTGATAAGAAACCGGGGTGGGAATTTGTTAGCGTATTGGAAGGTTTCGCCTTCCTTTTCCCTTCTCCCCTCTGCACAGGTAGGAGACCTCCTTCCCAGTTTGTGAGATATCAGTTCTCTTTACTCCTCACTGACATATGTTTCCTGTGTGACACTTCACTTGCTGTGATATTGTGATACCGCAAGCATTTAACAGTAGCTAATTAACCTTTTTGCCTGGTCTGAATAAAAAATTCTGACTGCAAACTTTCTAAGAATGTGGTTTCTAAATCAATTTCATTAATCCAGTAAAAACACGTGTCAGTGGCCTTCAGCTTGATTTAAACCAGGTGAATATATAAGAAATATATTACTTTACTTAAAATTAATTAATAAGGGACAATCTCCAGAGAACAGGCTTCACAACTGAAAATGCAAGGAAAGAGAGCAGCTTAACCGCCCACATCATTTTCATATGTGACCTCACCACCACTGCTTAGAATAGACTAAAAAGCTTTCCCACTCTTAATCTAGCCCTCCCCCAAAAAGGGAGGGTGCCCTTTTCCCTTCAAATTTGAAGGGCACAAAGTTTAGGATCAAACAATGATGATGATGATGATGACTAACAGTCCAAGAGTTTCATTGTTTCTGTAAGGCGATGCTTGCTGCTACGTCAAAACCACGATTCTGACTTCCTCAGTGAAATTTAGAAGCACTGCCTGAATTCTTTAGCAATTTTCTATTTTGAATCTTTTTATTTTTACTAAAATTCATGAGCTAATTTATGGCTAAGGCTGCCTGAGCTTTTCAGAAATTTGTTTCAGTTATGTATAATGTATTCAGACTGTCACCATTGAGGCTGAAATCTCCCATGTCCAGGGTTTTCATCAGGAGAGCACTTTCAGAAAGTTTCTGCTAGCACATTTCCCCTGGTATTTTTATTAGACTAAAATTAAGAAAGGCACAATGTCTGGACTACTTGGAAATAATTTTTATAGTCATTTTATTGAGAAGCTTCTTAACACTTGCTGGCCAGCACTTGTAACTTGGCAAGGGACAGGGCCCATTCAGGTGATGTGTCCACTGCTGTTCTGTGAAAAACTGCCTAAAAGTGGCCAGTTCCATTAAACTTTAATTGATTCTCATTCTAAAACCTGATTGTGATCCTTTGCTCCATGGTAATTACTGAATCGTTGCTCTCATAAATTTAGATCATAAAATATTTGCCATGGTATTAACTAAACTGCTTAGAAACAAGATATCTACATGTAATATATCTACCTCCCAAGTGGTATTTGTCAAAAACAGATTTTGAAAATGCCTGAACGCTGCGTGCAACATTATCCACCTGGCAAATAAATGAAACTCCCCTGCGGCAGATGATTTGATAGAAGCTGAAAAAGCATTTGACTGAATAGAATGGGACTATTCAGTTCATACTTAAAACTTGTTTGTACTCGGTATCCTGGTTGCTAATCTGGCTTCTCAGTTGTACTCTCACTTTGGCATCTGCAAAAGACTTGGTCTTGGCCATCCACAAAATCCCTCAACAAGGTTGTCTCCCATCCTTCTTTAGCAGTCTTTCTTCTTCCCGAGCTATCAATGTTAGCTGTTACTAAAGAACTAAAGATGTCAGTTAGGCTGAAGTGAAATGTATCTCAAGTCACTCCTGTGCACAAGTGATACGCTGCTGTTTCTGTCAGAAGCAGAATCTCCCAATAGGAACGTATGGGGGATATCTGATACTTCTCCATAATTTCTGAATACAAGGTTATGACCGAGTTTAAAAATTTGGAGAGCACCAAAGGTACGGTTTTCAAAAGCACCTAAGTAACTTAATGCCCAACGTCACCTTGAAATTCAAGCCACAAGGTGCTTTTGAAAATCTCTCCTGTAATTAAGAGATAACTACTGCCATTATTCTTTCCTCAAAAGTATGTTGTAAATCTGCTTTGTTCTATTGTATGCACATAAAATAGTCATAAGAAATTAAAATGTTTAAACATGTGCCAAGTAATGACGATACAGTTTCTAATAACCAGTCCAATGCAATATCTGTTAAATAAATGTAAAGCATACGATGCATTTTTAAAATGTATCTTTCAGCATTTAAGAGGTCTGCATAGCTGTTTTCTGGTAGATATTTCCATTTTTTGTGTTTGCAAAATGTATCTTCCTAGAAGAAAATTAAGATTATTTTTTTTCTATAACTATTGAAAAAAAAAAACAAATTTCAGCTGAAGTTCATTGGACTACTCATGCTTAAAATTAGCTGCAACATAAGTAATTGCAAGGCCAGCATTTAAAAGGAGTGTTTTTTAGAGATGCCTCTGAAGATTTTTGGGGAGGGGAAGCGTAGGAAGAAGGAGAGGAAGAGGAAAATTTTGCAAAATAGGTCCCAGCATGAACCCAGCATGGTTCTTAAACTATACCAGCTGTTTGCAGGATACACCTGTATGCCTAAATTTGCCTAGATATATTTTTTTAAGAGCTCAGTTAATAACAGGGAGTGATGGCATCACAAGGACAAAAGTCAGTTAGAAATTAGAGCCTTCCTGTTTAAAAAAAAAAAATAAATAAAATAAATAAAGAGAAGCTGAACAGGGATACAAGGAGATTTCAAAGGATATGAAAAGCAATTTGTGAAGCATCATACTTCATCATCATTTCCTCTTTAAAAGAAGGGGAGAAATTTATGCTCTATTTTGAAGTCCAGGTTTGAATATAGTCCATGTGATGATGTCCATGTAAGAACCCAGCATAATATTATAAAGAATTAATACATTTTTAATGGATGTGTTTATGGTCTTGTAAAGTCTGTAGGACTGTTTCAAATTGTGTAGGCAAGATCATATTTTACTAGTAGTCAACACAAGTCCTGTGCATCAGCTAAGGTGAATGGCTCATGGTTAAGGAAGGATTCTGTAGATTATAGGGAAAGCAGTACTTGGAAATTAATGGTTTTCTAGGCTTTGTTAACCTCACCTACCAAAAATGAATTTCATACATTAGTTATAAATCAGATGTCTTTGTCACAGTCTAACCTTACAACTGAATTTCAGAAAGAAAATCACCATACTCAGTTATTCCATTAGCTGGGTTCATGAGTAAATAACCTTTCTCTTCCAGTTAGGAAAGTTTCTAAATATCTGAAGACTTACACACATGGATACAACTGTGATATCCAACACAGATCCAGTGACCAGGGATTCGATCTGATTTCCCATTGTCATTTTGAAATCTTTTTTGCTCTGTCCATGTAAGTTCTTCCTGTTGAGTAAATCAGTTTCCTTCTAAAATATGTTTTTAACTTGTGTTATGTTTTTCACCATGGCAAATACTCTATACATAGCATAAACTAAAAATACAGGTTGCAGTTCCACTGATGACGTGAGTAACTGTTGCCTGGTTTCTTACAATTTCACTGGAAAATCTTGCATTTATAGTCTTATAATTCATCATCTGATGTAATTCATTTGTCATGGTATGAATCATGAATTGTGTGTGTAATTTTTTCTAATCTCCATACTGGGCTGTACCAAACAATGTAGTTCAGTGTGTCCTGTGCTTCAAAGGATGTTCTACCCATTTTATTGGACTGTCAGTTGGTTACATTTCCCAGAAATTCCCAGTGCACAGATTCACCTCTCCCTTTCCCGGGTCTGCCTCCCTGCGTGTGCAGTTACTAGGGAACAGCAATGGCCAGTGGGGCACATTTAATATTTGGCATTGGCTTTTGTGCCTTTTATAAACTTTCGTATATGATGGGGGCAATTTTAACTCACTTAAGATTTTTTGCTGTGAGGATTGGTTAATTAGCAGAGAGACGAAAGTAAAGAAGAGAAGTTAAGGAAAGCTGTGGGTCTGGCTTCTACTTTTGTTTCTTCAAAACTCATCCAGTGCCTGCTGCAGGTGTTTTATCTTTTACAAAACTAACATGTTGTCAACTTCAAGAATATTTTCTCTTGAAAGACCAGCTTTCAATGTGATGTAATTACAGAATAATCAGTACTGACTATTAAATACCCTATCCTACTCAGAAATTAAGCTTCATTCATAAATTCTATTTACTCCAGGTTTTCAGTTCTTGTTTTAAAGAGAAAGAAGCAGCCCAGTAACTGAAAAACAGGCAGGAACATACCTACTCTTTTTACTGCCAGACACCTGCACCAGAGTATGAGGATGGCAGGAGAAAGTTCTGCATCTTTATTCTTACTGAACGGCTTTTCTGAACCTAGAGTTTTCAAGCTGATCTTGCAGATTTCTCTCTTGCTTATTTGTAGTACAAAAATAATCCAAGAATTCTTTTTTTTTTATATCATCCTGTTTACAGTACTAGTCCATTGAAAGACTTATGGGCTTATGCCATTGTTGAATCATATTTCTTTGTGGATGTTAGTTATGATTTATATGTGTGTGAGTGGTCAGGGTTCTTGGGAATTCTTGTGTGCTCTTTGGTTAGAGTGGAGCAATTCCCATTCCTGTTTAGCTTTCCACTAGGGAGTATCTCACATTCACCCGAGATTTGCAGTTGGCTTTGGGGAACCTGGCAGACTGAAATATAATTTGTTTGGTGAAGTGATTTTATTAAAGTAATGATTACTAAAATAATGATTCCTAAAATGTGGGAGCTACCTCCCAGGCAGGTGCAGGGGACTGCATGAAAGTGCCACAGCCTGGTTTTTATATTGTGTCCCGCTTTCCTTTGCCTTAAAAAAGAAGGTATTTGTGGCATGGAATTGAGGAAAACCTGCAGCATGTGAAATAAGGTTAAGCAGTGCAGAGACATCTCCTGCTTTTGAAGTAACAGGTGACAGAATATTTCTGAGACCTCAAATGGGATACAAATCTGGCGTGTTAGAAGCTACCACTGTAAACTCTTTTCCTTGTTCTCAAAAGATGTAAGAAAGGAAAAGCTGTAATTCAGTGTTACCAAGGTATTTTACCAAACCTTGAAAATTATCTACGGAGTATCTATAGAGAGAATAGTGAATGAGTCAGAAATATAGAATCATAGAATGGTTTGGGTTGGAAGGGACCTTTAAAGATCATCTAGTTCAACCCCCCTGCCATGGGCAGGGACATCTTCCAGTAGACCAGGTTGCTCAAAGCCCCATCCAGCCTGGCCTTGAACACTGCCAGGGATGGGGCATCCACAGCCTCTCTGGGCAACCTGTCCCAGTGCCTCACCACCCTCATTGTGAAGAACTTCTCCCTTATATCTAGTCTGAATAACCCTCTTTTAGTTTAAAACCATTATCCCTTGTCCTGTTGCTATGGGCCCTACTAAAAAGTCTGTCCCATCTTTCTTATAAACTCCATTTAAGTACTGGCAGGCTGCTGTAAGGTCTCCCTGGAGCCTTCTCTTCTTCCAGCTGAACAATCCCAACTCTCTCAGCCTGTCTTCATAGCAGAGGTGTTCCAGATCTCTCATCATCTTCGTGGCTCTCCTCTGGACCTAACAGGTCCATGTCTTTGTTGTGCTGAGGACCCCAGAGCTGGATGCAGTACTGCAGGTGGAGTCTCACCAGGGCCAAGTAGAGGGGCAGAATCACCTCCCTCGACCTGCTGGCATATCATTTATTGTTACTGTATTGCTTGACTGATTTGATTATCATCTTGGCGAAGAAGTTTTCTACCAAATTGTAAGTTCAGGTGTTACTGTTCAGTCTAATGTGTAAAGTTTACACCCGACTTTTCTCCTCTCCTCTCTCTCCTCTGTTGTGTTAGAACTTCATTGCTGCTTCTCATAGGTAGCTCTGGCACTGATTGGACTCTAATTCCTAGATGTAGGATTAAGATATGTTTAATTTGTCACTGCAGTTCAACAAGTTCATTCACTTGCTTTCCAGTTAGTCTTGGTGTTTATCGGTTAAATTACGGTCTTTATCGTTAATACTACACAAAAGTGGTTTTATTACTAACAGATCAAATTAAAGCTTTCCCATGTATGAAGTGCAAATTACAGACACAAGGCTTTCTCCCTCATCATTCCTTGCACCAATATTTCCCCAGTATTTCCCAGTAGATTTGAAAGCTCAGCCAGTCTTTCTGGAAGAGGAAATCAGCCATGCACTGTCAGCCAGGACTCTGCTTTAACCTTCCACATAATAAGAGCTGAACTGAAAACTCTAGCTGTCTTGCTGAACACTGAGAATAAGGGCTTGCACGTGTGAAAGACCTCTTTACTGTTCAGTAGCCAAGGAGTATGAACCTCATTTCCAGAAGAAACTAGAGTGACCACAAACTTCTGAGCAAAGTGCCAGATATACTTTTTTGGCCCCAAGTTCTTTTGGCCTCAAGTTCGGTGGATAATCTCTTGAAAGGCATGTAGACCTGCAGTAACAAAAAGGGGCATGGAATCAGACCTGTCATAATTATTCCACAAAAATGTACGAGCATGGCAACAATCAAAATATTTCAAATGTTTACCCAGTGTTTAAAGGTGTTAAAAGAACTTACTGTTTGCTCTTGAACAAAATCTACATTACCATAGACCATTCCTACATCCTTGTGGCTTAAAGGCATGTTTTTTGGGTTTTTATTTTACAGCAAGCTAGAAAGCCCTATGATGTCCGAGATGTTATTGAGCAGTATTCTCAGGGCCACCTCAACCTGATGGTGCGAATCAAGGAGTTACAGAGGAGGTATGTCAATGAAGTTTGGTGCCTGTATCCATAGACACCAGCAGAGGGAAGTTTGTAAATAAGTCGGTGATTGGGGCTGGGGATCAAAAACTGACAGGGTTACAGGTGCCATATTGGTAGGACTGTGCAAAGTTACGGAATGTAAAGTGGCATTCAAGTAAAGTTTTCACACAGGAAGGAAAAGGCAAAGAGCTTAAAACTCTGATGACTGGGACTTAGAATTTTCATTATACTTACATGTATTGCCTCAGTCCCTGCTAGCTGTGACTATACACTCTAGTCCCTGTATGTTAGGGGCTGTATCATACGTACAGAGTGAAATACTGTCGCCTGCTCTGGTAGAATTGCACTTAAGAGCAAACTAAGAGACAACAAATAAGCTGTGGAAGAACAATGAAAAGAGGAAACAATGCTGTTCATGTGGAAAAGTGATGGGCATGGTAAAACTTTACAGTGGTTAAAGAAGCTAAAGACTAATCTAAGTCTAATCCCATTTTGTTGTTATTTTTTTAATTTCAAGCTATTCTTAGCCCAAAGCAACTGCTTCACCTACAGTACAAACCAGAAGTATTTGAACTTCACTGTGGTTATTTGCAAAGAGGTGTCCCCGCTCCAGCTAGAGAAAGTGAAGATGCTGGTTCAGGCTGATAAAAACTAAAAATTATTCTTTTTGGTTTATAGGTTGGACCAATCCATAGGGAAGCCATCTCTTTTTATCTCCGTCTCAGGTAACTTAATATGAAGGATGTATCTAAAGTTAATCTGATGAAGATATAATTAATGGAAAATAGTTGTTAAAACACTTTTTATTTTGTTGCCAAATTTTTAAACAGTGCCAAACAGTTGTGATCTGAAGTTTAGGCATCGACAATAATATTTAGTCATCGATGCCTTTAAAATGGGGTTATTCTTATTTAGATATTTAAAAGCACCTACTTTCACTGAAGTTTTCAAAATGTTGCCTCTAATCTCTCTGTGACTCACCATATTTTCAATAAAATGGTGTGCTATGATTACAGAGTTCCCATGATATCAATAATACTCACACAGAGCTTTGATAGCTTTGAAAAGAGACTGAAAAAGGAGCACAAAGTACTAAGTTTGTTTGCGACAAGTCTGGCTAATGAAAACTCTCTGTTAATGTCATTTTCAAACTCATGTTTCTATGTAGTTTATAGGGGAAAAAAAGATAAAATGTTACCAAATACATTGTTCGTGTTGGCTGTAGAGTCTTGCATAGTGGCAGACTGTTTTTAAATGGCAATTAAAACATTAACTAAATTGGGAACAGTTTTGTTCTCCCAGGTTAAAGCATAAAACCAAGGTTGAAAATGCCTTAAATGTAAGGGCTATTAAAAGCCATGGCATGGGCTAATGCTATAAAAAGAAACAAAAAGCTGCTTTTAAGCAATAGAACTACCAGCCTGGCAAAGGTGTTCAGTTACACTGCGTTGGTGGGCTAGTTAAACACACCCTGTTGTGGCTTGCTGCTATTTTGTTATACCACCATATATTAATTTGAAAATGTTTCTTGTTCCACAGAAAAAAGCAAAGATCGAGGGAATAACACGGTTGGTGCCAGGCTGAACAGAGTGGAGGACAAGGTAAGCCTCATTTAGGCTGGCAGTGAATGAGGACATGGTCTGTGATCGAACAGTACTTGTTTCATAGGATGTGGGGAAAAATTCAGCTTAAAATAAAGTTGAATGCCTGGCTTTTCCAGGTGATGAAGCGTAATTTTTGTGGCAGATTGCATTTTTGGTTCTTCCTTGTCATTTGAATAGAATAAGAAAAAAAGCAAACTTTAATTGATTTTGGTCTCATTTGGGACTCACTTGGGATTTTGATTTTTAATTATAGATATTACACATGTCTCAGTGCTTTACTTCCTTCCTCCACAATAGATAAAAGGCTCTGTGCCTTTAATACCTCAGTATATTATGGTCCCTAAGATTTCCCTTTGATCATTGCTCTGTTGTTTATATAACTCCACCTACAATTCCTTAGAGAGAGTGATAGCAAACCTTGTTCTGTCCTGGTTTTCATTCCTTATGACAAATGGAGTTTCTCCTTTCAAGTGACGTGAAGCCAGAAAAAATCAGACTTGTTCTGTAATCTCAAATTAACAGTTAGGTGCTTTGTAACCCTTTATTTCAATGCTAGCTGTGCTTGAAAAATTAGATGACACGTAGAGGCTATGTCATTGTTAAAACATATAGGTTTGCCTATGTTCGTATTAAGGAAAGAAAGGGAGAGTTAAAAGAAATGGTTTGAATCCTTTACTGATCTCTTACAGTGATTTGGTGAGGCGGTGAAATAATTTCTTTAAGATTATTTCACTCATTTATCTAAATTGTTCATTTGGTATTAAGGAGTGAAAATTTTTCATGAGGAAAAAAGCTTTCAGAGTGTTTCTTTCACAACTGGAAGTATGTGATAACCTCATGAAGGATTTGTTCTGAAGAAATATCCAGCAAATATTCTGCAAACCAAAAGAGGTGTGACCAACACTTCCCAAAGGATGCAAACCGAGCTCCCCGGCCTGTATTGATTCACTTGTGACGTATCCGTTCCTTACACGTTTCTCCTTAAATACTTAAGGTAAACTTGAATGATAGTACTCGGGACTGTACTTCAATCTATGGGAAATAAATGGCATTTTAAAGGGAACAGGTGCTTTTCGGTATATTGGGCGACACACAGAAAGGGTGAAGTAGAAGATAGGAAGGTACAGTGCATTTTGCACAAAGAATCATCACTGTGCAGTGCTCGCTCAGATCCCTGGTTGGTAAGTGTCTTACATATGGAAGCCCCTTCCAGAAAGTTTGGATTACAGTTATTTATTTTCTCTCCGTAAAGTCAACTAGAAGTGTGGAACGCTAAAAAATGTCTTGTGACTTGTGACAAAGAGCAATGACTTTTCAGTTTGGACAAATAATTCTCAAGTGACAGCAAAAATAGTTTCTCAGTGCTATTTGTAAAATCTCCAACGAGCCTGGGAAAGCTTTGGTGTTGTATTGGCTCAGAGATAAGCTGTTTTGGGGTTATTCATTACTCTTTTTTACATCCTTACAAATAAGTACACCGTGAATTTATAGTGACTGTTGTTTTGTGTCTTGTAATGGGACTATAAAACACTCCCTGTTTAATTTTAGTATAGCCGGGTTAAATTTTAGCTTTGTTTTAAGTAACAGACCCTTCTTTCTTTGCAGTTGCATGAGGTCATCTGTGGTTTCAGAGTTGTATGTTATCTGCCCTATACAGCTAGTCCTATCTGCAGGAATTTTATCTGAAAGTAGCTGAAAGGCTAAAAATAGAGAATTTCAGTTGGACTCGGCAAACGGTGGTATACATGACAACACACCGGCAATGCTGAAATCACATTTTTGCTGCAGCTGCAGATGGTGGCCAAAGCTATTTTGGGGGTATTTTTGCTCTCCAAGCTAGGCCTTCCCTTTCCCATAAAGGACATGGTATGCTTTCAACATACAACTAAATCCTTCCTGAGCTGAGCACTATATAAAGGGTATCTCTATCAGCTGGTTTTTAAGGTGACTACATATTTTAAACAGTTGCATCCCATTTGGTTTGTGAATTAGTTTTGAATCTTGGACTTCTGAAGGAGAGATTTTCAAGGGTGCAGGCTACTGTTAGCATCTAACCACCCTTTGTGCATTTGAAAAATCTCCTTTAAATCATTTTAAAATGAGCTGTAGCCTTCAAAAATTATGTGGAAACTCCTGCTACAGCAAGAAATTACGTGGTACTTCCCATGCTACAGGAATAAGCAGAGTTCTTCTATTAGATCTTTCTCAATGATCATTAGTATGGTCCTTGCAGCAGAAGGCTGGCATACAGTTGTCAGGAAGTCTGTGTTAAAGCAGAAAGAGAAGAAACCCTGAACTTTGATTTTCTGAACTTTTGGGTGCTTCTGCTTTTGAATGTCTGCTGTCAGCACAGGGTCTGCTACTTGCGCATCACAGAGGTGGAATCCAATTTTAGGTATATTCCTATAGGCTTTTGTGGAGGTGGATTTTAGCTCAAGAAGCGTTTACAAATAAAGATCATTCTGTCTTCAACAGTATTTAGTTGTGTTTCTGGGACGTCATGTCACTCTTGCAAAGCTTCTGTACTTGTGGCACAAGCAAACAGGCTCAAGAGGCATATGTATGGCTGGCAGTACAGAGGGGATGGCACATGAAAGGGGTATTTTAAAAATAAAATGCTGAGAGTCAAACAGCAGTGTATTGGCAGGAATTATGATACTTTATGGCACAAATCTGAATTTCCAAGTATTGAAATCAGCAAAAGAATCGTGCTTTCTTCTTTCAAATTTAGGAACATGTTCTTTTGAGGGAGACAGTCCTGTAGAGTCTGTTCATCTTGTGCACTGAGTGAAACTTTGACCTGGTAATTCATGCAGTTTGTGATGATGTAACTAAAGATTGTTTCCTAATATGCAAAACCAGAGGGATGATTCAGGCTTGCAGGAACCTTCCTGAAGATTCCTTCCCATAGAATTTTGTCATTTTGGCAAGCAACCGAAAAGGTGGTTTTGTAAATGTAACGAGAAACTGCACAACCTGATAGGCCTTCGTGTAAAGAAATCACAATCCAACATGTAACCGCAGCATATTTGGACTTTGCCATTGTTCTCTGTTGCTAATAAAGCTGAGGGTAGCAAATGCTATGTTCTCCTAAAGGTGTATTGCCATGGCTGAGTGCAGGCAATTGCAGCACCCGCCGTGCCCACACCCCGATCTGTCGGGACACCGGCCAGCTTTGGTCCAAAAGACATGTAACTGCACTAGTGCAGTGCCCAGACCGAGCTCATAAACCCCGCTAAGCAGCAATGGTCCAAGCGTGTGCATGCAGATACGCTGATCCGGTCCCTCCAGAGAATGCTGTTGAGCAGGATTACAGCAGCAAATCAGTGTATTTGCGGTGACCAGCCTTCTCTCTTTTTATCCTGAAACATCTGTGAATGACTATTCAGCCTACCCTCAAGAAACCTGAGGCTGGCTTGCTACCAAAATCAAAATCAAAAACAGTTTTTCCAGATAGGCCCAGCTGTGTGCGTGCAGCGCTGTTAATCCTCACGCAGACAGCCCTGCGTGCCAGTGGTTTAATTCTGGGTGTGCCCAGCAGCTCCAGCCAGGAACGAGCCCACAATGCGCTCAAGAACTTCTGTGTGCTACATCTCCTTTTTTCTTTTCGCTGCTTTAATTTTAGCTTGGCTAGAAATTACTGTAATGCTAACTTTTTAGAATAAATTAACATGTTCTTTTTTCAACCCTTTGCTGACCATTAATTTAGATGTAACAGGCGCAGCTTGCACTTTTCAGGTAATCAGATGGGATTGTTGCTTGGCTGCCCTAAGATAATTCAGTCTTAAATATGGGCACTGCACAAAATCAGCTAGAATATATAGTGAGGGCTAAAACTGGCAGTCCCTGGACTCTCGACAGGCTGTTGTGCCTCCGCACCAGGCTGCCCCAGGTGTCAGTAGGTCCTGCCTGCGGACCTCCCAGAGTAGAATAACAGAACCCGGATTTACAAAAAACATTTTAAAAGCCATTCTGAGCAGTGGATATTACGCTCTATTCTCTGTTAAGTTGTTTTAAAAATAGGACTTAACCTTCTGCAATGATTTGGACACTTCAAAATTTGCCTTTTAAGAATAGTTATAGCAATCCAAAGCAATTTTCTGGGTGTCCCTTCTATATACTCAGAACTATTCCTGTATCTGACAATAAGTACAGCATTAATATCAGTATTGCCGAGGTCACAAGTAAAAACTTGTAATAGTCTTTTTCAGTTATATGGAACATTAGGGGTAATGCTATCTACTGCTAAATTTTAAGTTGTAGAGATTTAAACGGAGATTTCTGTTTATACAAAAGGTATGTAGTCATGAGATGTGACACCTTTTAATGTGAATCCAACAGTTCTACAAGACAATATTCATTCCAAGCATGTGCACATTTTGCAAGCTTACAGCTGAAAATGTGAACCCTTGTATTCTGACTAGTACTAAGCCAAAGAGCAACATGCAGAGCTTCAAACATGCAGTGCAGCACCAAACAGAGAATCATTTCCCTTTTTCAGATTTACTTTAACAGCAGATAGCACCACTTTTAAAATCAATTAAAAAGAAATCTAACATGTGAAAACATCTACGCTAAAATAGATGCTACTGGGCTGCTTGAGTTGCCTACTGTAAATCTGAACTGGTCTTGGAAATCAAAACTGAAAGGAAGTTCTCTTTTTTGCACAGTTCTTTTGAGTTCTGGTTAGGTGGTTTTCTGTCTTCCACCTACAATGTCTTTGATTGTTGAATGTATAGATCCCATGTTCAGTAAAACTGTCAGGACATGATATATATTTGATACATTTTTCACTGCGAGTGCCGAGTATGGAACTTTTAAAGGGAAGTAAGTTCTTTATTTGAGGTGGCTTTCAAAAAGTGGTGGAGACCTGCACATTACAACACGGTATGACATTTTCTTCTGGCTAAATAATTTTCTGCAATTTTTTCACTGGAGCATTGATTCTATCCATACCTGTGTTAGAAACCAGTTTGGCTGGAACCCTGTTAAACGCA